TCAGCAGGTGGAAAATGCAAACCCAAACATGCTGTTCACTCAGCTGTTAATGCCTCCCACCCTGCCTAGCAGGTTTTCTCTCCGATTTGTTAACGTGCATTGCAAACACTTGCAGCCACCTTTCATACACCTACAGGCATTCTCCTCTCATACTTGCTGCTCTGGAGACCTGAGCATGGCAGTAAAGCTGTGATTTAGACTTCTGTTGATAAGAATGGCCAAACATTTTCGTGGTCAGGAACTAACTCACTCACAACTGTTGAGGTCCCGGGGAGTTTGATTCCTCAAGACCGAGCTGCGGCACACTGCCTGACTTACTGCTAATGGCAACTTTTCTACGTTACTGATGACATTGAATTCTAAGAGCTGGTGTTACAAGTGTGTCTCTGTTTATAGTTCAGTTAAAGTGCTCAGAGGCCGACCTAACCTATTGCTATTCAGGACTTTTTCTGAAATGAACTACAGCTACAAAGACCTCCACTGTGCTGTACAGAAGTGGTGTTGTATTTGTGCTTTGTGACTTCGAATTTCTCCAATTAGTTATGCTAGTGTAATACTTCTGTCTTCAAATTTGTTACAGTAGAAAGCAATTTGCCCCAAATATGCATATTTATATTCATATAATTGTTTATTTATTCTCCAAATAAACTGGAGAATGGCAATAATTATGTTACTGTTCCCAATCTCCCATTCATCAAATCAATTTTTGAATTCTCAAAAGTTGTTTTCAACTGAGCCTTACTTTATGCTTCTACTGAATTATCTCAATTGAAAAAGGACTTTCTGACCCATTCTCACTTCCTGTTTGAAGGCCTGGATAGTGACAGCAGTATGTTAGCAAGTTGTCAACCTGCCCAGATGGTGAATATCCAAGAATGCTGAAAGAGCTTCAGAATAAACAGGCTGATCTGCTAAGAATACACAGTCCTTCATTAAAAACCATTTATGTGCAAAAGAACTGGAAGTAACAAATATCGTGTTTATTTTTATAAAAAGGGTCATGGGATAATCAGCAGAGTTTCAGACCATT